TGATGTTGTAGTGGAACTGCCCCTCCTTCCCATGCAGGTCCGACACAGTGATGTTCTCCAGCTCCTGCTCCACGAAGCGCAGTCCCTCCTGCTTTACTGCAAAGCAAGTCTGGGCTGACCACATCCATGCTGTGCCCTGTTCCCAACAGCATCCCCCAGCCAGTAGCCTGGCTCCTCTAGAGCAGCCCATGTGTGGGCAGTGCGAGCTGGGGTCCCAGAGGCAGACCCTAGGATTAGCCTCCCAGCTTGCCTCTTACCCAGCCCCAGAAGCAGGAGCCCGGCCAGCTGCTTACCCAAGTCCAAGCCCTTGGAGGTGACCCGGATCTTGCAGCCAGGAGGGCTGTGCAAGGCTGTGGCCAGCCAGGGCAGGAGGAGAAGGAGGAGGCTGCTGGCAGCCATCTCACACCTGGAAGCAGAGAGCAGGGTCAGCACAGGCTGGCCCACTGGGGACACCTGACTGCCTGGGAAGGGATGCAGCTGCTGGCCCGACCTACTCACAGCACTGTGGCAGCCTAAGCAGGGGATGGCCCTGAGGAACACTCCATGGACCCGCTGCACCCCACACCCCTGGGTTTGGGCAGGTTGGTATTTCCCCTAAATCCCACAATCCCACCATGCTGCTGAGGTTCACATCACCCAAATCCCCCTGTACCAGCAGCCCACAAGTGGCACAGCCCCCTCCCTGCCCAGGGTGCTGCACGCAGATCCCCCACCAGGGACCCTATGGGACCCAGTGTCTCACATCCCACTGGGAACACGCACACGGATCAGCTCTCACTGGCATCAGCAGCCTCCCACCCTGCCCTGAATGCACTGTCCTCAAAGCTACGCAGCCAGGAATGAGCCCAGCATGCTCCGTTGCAGTGAGAACCCCCAGCACTGCAGAGAAGGGAACCCTCTCCTGTGGGGCAGCCCCACAGCCCTCCCAGCCCTTCAGGGCAGCTCCAGACTGGGCCCCCCACGGAGATGTGCTGCCTGCCAAATGGCCCCACACAGCTTGTTGAACGCGCTGGTTGCTGGGCTGAGACAGGAACCGGAGCCTCCCTGTCCACCACGAACAGGCTGAGCTACCCACAGGACTGCCGGGACGGTCCAGGGCTTTCCCCTCCAGCATTTTTCCCCAGTTCCCCATAAGGGAGGCGACAGACCCCCTCCTCCAGCAGGGTCCAGTGGCGCCACCATTCCCTGAGGGCTGCGCGTGGGCTAGGGAAGGGAGGGAGCTCGCTTACACAATGCTGGTTCAGCTCAGATACTTACAGCGTGCTGGGGTGACTTGTCCTTGGCTTTCTTGGTGTGGGGAAGCTGAATCACGTGAAGTGAGGGAGAGAGGAGGGAAGGAGAACACCAGTAGCTCCAGGAGTTTCTCTTGAGCTGGCTGAGGTTCCCCTGCCTTTATATAGCCCACCAGCTGCCACTCCTTGCGATCCCACAGCTGGGAGGAGACACAGAGGGACTGGGAGGATGCAGGTCTCGGCCACGCTAGGCCCTGCAGAGCTGCTCCCCCGGCTGTCTGCCAGCACAGGCACAAAGACAACGGGTTGTACAGACACCCAGTCTCTGGGCTAAGCGCACAACCTTCCTTCCCCACCCACGAACACAATGGCCCAGCGTAAGCCCCAGTGTCACAGGACACTGCGAGTCCTGCACAGACAGACACACACCATGCCCCTCTGCATCCCGAGACACCAAGACAGTCCCTGTCCCTGCGTGGGGCAAGCCAAGCAAATGGAGCCTGGGGGATTCATCGTTTGGGGAGCAGCATCCCTTCTGCACTCTGCATAATGAAGACCCCTGTGCTGGTGCCAAGCACCCCCAGCCGTACTCCGCCAGCTTCAAGCCTGCTGGCAGGGGGACGCTTTAGGGCTGGATCAGAACACAGGTCCCTTAGCCTTGGGCCGGGGTGCTGACAGAGGCTATTTTGTGCCTATTTTTGATGTAAGCTCCAGCTGGAGAAGCTATCTGAGACTGCCAGATCCTGGGAGCTGCTCTGGCATCTGCTGCCCAGGCTCTTGGCACAAACTTGGCAGCTTAATGTCTCCTGGGGTCTCTGGGACTTGCCTCTCCGTCCAAACTTGCCTCAGCTTGCTCCAGGCAGCTTTGACAGGTGCTGAGGCTCTCAGCATCATGAGGAGCAGTTGCTACAGTGACCCCAGTGATGCCCACTCTCCCATTCTGCCCCTGCCCCAGCAAGTGGCAGTCACTAGGGGGAAGGGACACCAACACTCTGGAAAAGTTCCTTGTGCTGGGGCTTCCTTCAAAGGCTCAGCAAGTCTTTGCCTGACAGAGCTGCACAGATGCAGCAGCATCACTTGTCCTGAAAGAGGCTGAAGTTCTGCCCCTCACCAGCCCCTTTTGCTGCTTGAGCCTGCTTGCTCCATACAATAAGGCTTTGTGCTTGCCATCTGTGAAGCCCCGGACAAATCAGTCTGTGACCCCTCTGCCCAAGCCTGTGAAAAAAGGAGTTAATCTGAGCCAGCACTTTGTGCTCTGGGCGATTAGCTGTGCTCCAAGGCAGTACAGAGCCAGGCTGCATGGGGCTTGTGCTCTGAAAGCAGGGAGACTTAGGAGACTTAGTGCTTACACAGCGCTTATCCCTTCCAAACTGCTTTGCCAGCATTAACTAATTAAACTGACCCCAGTGCTCTCAGTGCAGAGGGCAGGACTTCTGCAGAGAACGAGCAGATTGAGTCACTGCCCAGGAAGAAAGAAAGCCCCTCGGAAAAGCCATGCAGAAGAGGTGTTCAAGAGGCAAAGGGCAAGAAAGGGCCTCTTAAGGTTGAGAGTAACTGCCCCCCCCCCATCTGCCCTTGTCCTTTCTCCATAGAGTTTTGTGAGTTAGAAGTGGCCTTCACCTGCTGAGCCCAGCGGGTCCCTGCTCAGAGCCCCTGGCAGGGGACAGGGTGGCTGCAGCCACTTCAGCTGCTCCTCTCCATGGAGCACAGCCCATGCCTCTGGGCACGTGCATCAAGAGGCCTGTGGCTCCATCCACAGTTTGCCTTTGTCTAGTTTGAGAGCATATCAAAGACTCCTGCAACTCCCATCAAAAACTGGCCCACCCCCAGCAGGAGGGCAGGACTGCTATAATGACCCTGAGAACGCATCTCCTTTTCCCATTCTGCATCATCCTGAAGTCTGTGTTGAGCAGGATGCAAATTGCTCCTGTCATGCATGCTGTGAGTACAAAGTTCTTCTGCGCTGTCAGGCCTCTCTGTGCTGGCTGCAGTAGAGATGTTTCTGCCCTGGTGGTGGTGCGGTCCAGGGGTCAGGGAGGATGCAACTGGTGGATGGAGATGTACCAGTGTGATGTGTCCTGATGCTCCCCATTGCCAGCTCAGAGCTCCAGCCTGGCTATGGAAGCGTGACCCGGACACATACCTGTGCTAAGCAGCAGCCCCAAGGGGCCATGCAGAAAAGAAGTCAGCTCTGAGTTTCCTGCTCCATCCCACTTGCCTGCAGTTCCTGCGGCAGCAACTACACAGGAAGGGGAGCAATCCCAAAACAACCTGTAGAAGAAAGCAAACAGCCATCTCCTTGCTAGCGCCTGACTCCACCTGAAAAAGGCAGCGCTCTGCTTTCACATGCAGCTAGCATGACCGGCACTTGCACGATTCAGTACCTACAAGCACAGTTACCTCAGTTACAGTTAGCCGTACACAACACAGTAACCGGACACAGAAATTATAGCCTGGACGTGTTTGGGACGCACACCACCAGAACCACTTCTGAGCCTCTAAAATCTGACCCTGGGTGCCAAATTAACAAATAAATGAGTGGGTGTAAGAGTAGGAGGTGTAAATATAGGTTCCTAAATATGGGCCCTCCTGTAAATAGGCGCGGGAGGAGGGCGGCGCTGCGGGAGGCCGGCAGCGGCACCGGGA